CAGGAGTGATGTATGATGTCTTATCCACAGGGAAAGAAGGAACCAGAACAAGGAGGTCAGCCACCTTGGCAGTCCTGGTAGGAGTTAGCCTGGTGGCATCAGTGGCAGCCACTGGACTCATAGCCAGAGGTTTGGGACACACACTGATCTCAACCCAGCATCTTTCCCAGGAAATAGAGGACCTCAGACAGGAACTCACCTCAATAGTGGAAACTACAGCCCAGTCAATCCATTTCCTACAACAATTATCCAATAACAACAACAATATCCAATAACAATATCCAATAACAACAATTATCCTCCCTAGCTGAAGTCCCTCTCCAGGAAAGGCAAGCCCTGGATCTATTAACTGCAGAAAAAAGGGGAACCTGTATTTTTTGGGGTGAAGAATGTTGCTATTTTATCAACAAATCTGGTAAGGGCAAACATGATATAGAACAACTTAAACAGGTAGCAAAAAAATCTTTCAATTAAAAATTCCAAGTACCAATAGTCATCTCAATGGGATATTTTTACAGGATTAACTCCTTGGCTTCTACCCTTACTTGGCCCATGGCTTTCTATCACTTTGGTGCTAACCATTGCTCCTTGCCTCTTCAGATATTTTTAGGACCAAATTGAAAACTAGTGCATACTAATTTTAATCAATTGTTATTTTTCTTCCCTCCACATATATACAAGCTCCTGTCAACCATCAAGAACCCTGTTGAGATGCATGAAGAGGGAACCCCCGCTGTCTGATCGACCCCTAATCCAGCCCCCCGACGTCGACCCTGTCCAGCAGGAAGTAGCAAGACAACAACTGTGCCCCCTGTCCTATAACACAAAAGGCTGGAATGTTAAGGTTCATATAGCCCCGCTCCCTCAACAACAGGGCCTCACAAGTCCCTGAGAAAAGGGAACTGAGCTGATAAGCACCCTGGTCTTTGAAGTCAAGGGGAGCAGACTCTTCTAAAAGGCAGACTGCCTTTCCTTTGATCACTGAAGACAAGATATGCAGATTCCACCTTTTAACCAGAGACCTCAGGATCCACTTTAGTACAGCAGCCTTTCCCTTAAGAGGACAAAAAATAAACACTTCCTGACTTAGACCCTGGCTGGCAGATGGAAAGGAGCCAGTATTTCAAGCCCCACTCTCCCACGTCCCCCCGCCCAACTTAAAAAAAAAAATCTTCCCGCCTTCTGCATCCTCCCAGAAGCCTCCCCCTTTAAAAGACCCCAGCTCATGACCCGGGCAGACATTTCCCTGCCTAGAAGGGAATCTGTCCCATGTGTTCCTTTGCTAATAAACTCTATTCCGATGGAGTTTTATCTATGTCCTGGATCAACCGGATTCATCCAGAGGCTATTTTATCTTTCAGGAGGAAGGGGTGGATTGTAAACTGGAAGTGTTCTCTGACCACTATGCCGGAAGCTGTAGTGACACCCCCTTCCCACCTTCATCAAGGAGTCCATGGGTGAGTCAGTCACCCCCCCCACCCAATCAGTCAACCTTAGCTGCATGTGGAGGGGGGATAAGGATATATAAGCCAAGAATGCCACGAGGCACCTCTCACCATTTTGTGTGGCTGTCTGGGAGTCACAGGATCTATATTTGAGTGTGGGCTTTTCAGCGTAGCTATAAATGGGGGGGCACCCACTTTTTTGTAAATAAACCCCTACTCTATGCTCTGTTAGCAAGCCCAATAAACTCATTAGGATTTTAAAAAAGAGAGAGAACAGAGCTAATGGAAACCTTCCTTATTCCATGAAAGTTGACCCCATGTTGGCAAATGCTTTTGTCACTGATTTCTTATTCCTATTTCCCCATTAAACTTCATTGTATTTATAATTTTGTGTAACCTGCTTCAAGTTATTTCTGGAAAAATGTGTTAAAAATTGCCTCTCTTCAGGAAAAGAAACCTAAAAATTAAATATATACATATGCATATATATTATACCCCATTGTTAATGTACCTATATCATATTAATAAAAAGAAATAGTCTTCCCCCTAAGTTCTTACCCTAATACCCTTAGAATAGAGAATCTTTCAACCCTTCTCAGAGAAGCTGTTTTTTGCACTACATGGCAATTAATACAAATGGTCATTGTGCAGAGAATAAGAGCCTATGGAGTGCTCAGAGATAAATGGAACATCTATATCACCCTCTCCCTCCAAGGCTCAGGTATCATTGTGAAAGAGGGGGCAGAAAGATTGTAGCAGACATTTGATCAAATGGTGTTTGCCAAACATGAGAGGACCTTTGCACACAGGAACTCACAGTGGCTGAGACCTACACAAGATCACTCCTGACTGAGCAGGAGTTAGTTCAATTCAAGAATGTGTTCCTGTAGACTACACATACTCCTGTAGATGTCCTTATCCTTGTTACTTTCTATTCCTGTAAGAAGTTCTCTGACCAAACCAAACTTGGGAAGGAAAGGGTTTATTTGGCTTACATGTCCTGGTCACAGTTCATCCTTGAGAAAAATCAGGACAGGAACACAGGGGCAAAAACTGAAGCACAGATTATGACAGAACACTCTTATTGGTTTGCTCCCTGGCCTTTGCTCAGCCTCCTTTCTTATTTGACACAGGGCCACTTGCCCAGGGGTGGCACCACCCACAAGTGGGCTGGTCCATCCCATATTATTCAACAATCAAGAAAATGCTCCACAGACATGACCATAGGCCAGTCTGGTGGAAGGAATCCCCCAACTGAGGTTCCCTCTACCCTGGTGTATCCATGTGACAATTAAATCTATCCAGCACAGCCCTATACCCCAGCAAACACAGGAAGCATTCAATGAACTCAGTAGCTTTTAAAACAAAGCACATATGCTTGGGAGGGAAAAGGATTGGGGGATGGGGAGGAAATGGAGGGGAAGGATTGAAAGGCGGGTTTTATCAAAATATCATGCATGTATGAAATTCTAAAAAAATGTACTGAAAATGATTAGGAAGCTCAGTGGAGAAGCTTCTTATACTGCAGATTGTGATTAACAAAGAGAACCACAACTGGCCAATGTGTAGAGATTAAGAGGCTGCAGAGTGCTCATCTCTGAATAAGACACCCATATCAAACTTCAGCCTCCCAATGCTCAGGGATCACTGTGGAAGAGGGGGCAGAAAGGCTTTAAGAGCCAGAGGAGGTAGATGACCACAATGAGACAGTTTTCCAGACATCTGGTCAGTTACTCATATGAACTCACACCAATGATGACAGCAATGCACAAGATCCAGGTAAGCTCAAGCCAATCATAGACATGGGTAAGTAAGAAACAGCAATGGTACCTGAGGAGCTACTGACAACAGATGGCTGCTGAGAGGGGGAGAGTCAGTGTCATTTAAGGGGTAGACTCTTGGTAGGTTAACCAGGCTCCCATGGATGGACACAAACCTAACTCTATAGGCCTTAATACATACATACACACACAGAAACACACACACACACATATATATTGGAGTACAGGAAATTGATTGTATGGTATTAAAGGGGGGTGGTACAGATAATGGAGGGGAGCTAAATATGATCAAAATATACTGTATGGAATTTGTAAAAATTCAATAAAGAAGGAAAAATTAATATTGTAAAAGCAGATTAATAAGTAATAAGTAAACCCCAAACAATAAGAGCAACAACACAACAGCAACAACAAAATGATACACTTATTTTCACTATATCAGCATCATTTGGGTTTGTTGAGAATACAAGTCAGATCTTGCCATAATATTTCTAATTTAAAATATTGGCATAGAGAAGAAGCATCATGTTTTAGCAAGCTCTCCTGGTGATTTTCTAGAGCAGCTATTGTCATATTTTGGAATTTTGTGAGAACCTAGGACTATACAAAACCCTATATGCTATGTATTAGTAGAGGGTGGGTCCAGTATGATTCTCTAGATATATATAAGAACCATTGCAGAGGAAAGAGTTGATACAATTATGCACTATTAAGAGCAGACTGAAAGTCACCTTCATCTATGCACAATCTTTTTATTGTAAAGAACAACTTTCTGCCATTTTAACCACTGTTCAAGGTCATCAGTATTAACTTATGCATAGAGGTAAAATTACCAAATTATGTTACTGTTCTTTAAAGAGATTGCTTTCCATAAAATCAACAGAACTTGTTTTCTCTAAGTATTTTCATGAGCATTGGCAATATTTTAATTGAACAAAGGCTAGAAACCATGGCTTCTAAATTTGAGCAGTTTTTTTCCTATCATACTTAAATATTGCACAATCAAGATTAGACCATTGTTTCAAGAACTACACTAAGTGAATAAGAACTCACACTTTAGCATTAGTTCAGATCATCAGATTGCATGCATTATTCATGTAGCACCCAATCAGATGCTCTTTTTTTTTTTTGAACAATTCACTAATCATTTTGAAACATTAGTTTTAAAAGAAGTGAAAAGGAAGAGACAAAATGAAAGTCAGAGAAAGGGAAGAAATAATACTTGAGTTTGAAACAAATCCCTCAAAGTATAAGAAAAATCTCAATTGTCATTGCAGAAGAAAAATGTGTTATGTAAATTATGTAGCTGTGACTAAGACTGATGCTCAAAGCCTGGAGGAGGGCTGGGTGTGTGAGATTCCAGGCACAATCATGCTGAATGGGGTGAGGAGAAGGAAATTGTATTCTGCTCTAATTATATCAAACCATGTTAGTTTAAATGGAAAGAATAAGTTCAATGCTTTAAAAGAGTAATGTTTTGATCTTTCTATGTAACTTTTTTCTATTTGTTATAACCGGTAAAAATAGATTTTGGTTGACAAAATTTGAACAGTGTTTGAAGTAGAATTAGAGCAGCACTGAGAGTAACTCTAAAGCAATCATTTTACAAAGCAGAAAGGCAATTAGGTGGCAACTCTAAGTGTTTATTAAAATTTGCTTTCTGATAAATACCACATCTGAAGGTCTTGTTAAATATTGGTTAAATTAATAACAATTGAAGGTATACTCTTGAGAATAAGACTGATGTTTTATCAACAATGTCAAGAACAGTTACCTTTACAAAAGCAACAATCTTCAAAGAGATTGTTGCCAAATATAAAGAGTTCATCACAAAATCCATTAGATTCCACCAGTCATGGATGTAATCCTGAAGTCCGCCATCCCACATCTGTTTAATTTCTCCCCATATGAAACCTGCAATTACAGAAAAGATCACTATAAGTGTAATTTTCAATCAAATCCCTAATAAAAGAGATAAGCAAATAAGTAATTATAGATATAGAAGCCACATAACACCACGCGCTTACATTAGATACAATAACTCCTTTGTAGGTAGTAATATTGTGTCCCGACATCTTTTAAGATTGAAGACACTTTGCTAATTCCAGAAGATTTTGTTACATCAGTATCACTTCATTTATGCATTTAATACATTAATAAATATAATGTTTTAATCAAACTGCAATTTCTCTATGCATTTTTTCATGGATGTCTTAGAATGTTCTTGTAAGCAAATCTTTTGGGAGGTATTTTTCTCTTAAGTCAAAATGACTAAAAAATTTATGAAAAACAGCATATCTAGTGAAAAAAACTTGTTTTAGCCAAGTAATCAAGGTACTCTGCTGAACTACTTCAAGCGATCAGTGCTTTGAGTGATCTGCTTTCAGCTGGAAAAAGGATACTTATAACATTCATGATATTTGACTAAAATACTTTATATAAAGCAAAGTTTCAATACTACATTAGAATAAATAACTATTTCCTTTTTATGGTGTTTTCTAACAGAAAATATCACATTATAAAATTTTGTGGAGTATTTATAAAATATCAGTATAGCTCATTATTTTATTTCCACAATCTTATCAAAATATTTATTACTATTTTCAGAGCCTAATAATGAGAGAGCTATCACAGTGCTTAGAATTAGGACATATTAAAAAGATCAATATGATATTATTACTACATTAATCAAAATAAACAATGAGACTGCTTTATGATAATAATAATAATGCAACATGTAAAATACCAAGTTTGATAGCAGCTGAGAATGCAGAAAGTTGGAAAGAATATTATTGCTTTTTACTAAATGCAAGAAAAAGATTAACTCTAAAAGTCATAAATTGCCATATCTTCATAAGGGATATACGTAACCAAGAGGCCTCAACTTTCAAAAATGAAGCATGCCCCTCCTCTACCCACTGCCATCACTACAAAATAAAAGCAAAAATGAAACAACAACAAGGGGTCAGAGAGATGCTTTGTGGGTAAAAACAGATAAAAGAATAGATAAAAATACGGAAAAATAGTAAATACTGTAATAAATTGATTATACTTCAGATATGAATTATTATACACTTATTTTTACATTTTCAGTATGTTTGAAAAGATTCTGAGTAAAAGTTTGGAAGGCATAAAAGTAGTCAACTTGATGTTTCATTATTACTGAAAACAATGAATAATTTCATAAATTACCCATTAAATTTAATGTTTTAATTTTGTATTACATTTAAACTTATGTAGCCCAGATGAAGACTGATGATGAGTTGAGTGTAATGTCTCTTTTAACTCTGCTGCAAGTACTGCTGTACTCTGAATACTGTGTGGCCGTCCTTGCTAGGTTTCCTTCTGAAGCTTTTCTCATAAACCAATCCCTTGAGTGTTCAGGTAGGAGTGGGAAATAACTGAGGAACTGGTCATATTTGACACCTTCTGTTGACTGAAGCAAGGAGCATAGCAGAGAGGAGTGAGACGGATTCATGCACTGTCTCAGAGAGGGTGAGATGAGAAGAATCCTTGGTGCACGTTAACACGCTCCTCTCACACTGAAGGTGGTGTCTTTTCCTGATATGCTGGACATGCCCTGGGAAACCAGCCCATGACCACAGCTTGAATGGGAAACTGAAGTCCAAAGAGCCAGTGTGACTGCTGCTGGCCTACTAGTCAATGGAGACACCAGGACTGGGTATATATCTCTAAAGGTCTGGATAGCATTTTCTTATACTTACATGACATGTATTTCAAACCTGGTTATTTATTTTGTCGTGCTTAAATTTTGCCCACTCACAGAGATTAGAAGTGTAAATGAAATCATTAATTGGCAAATGCCTGTCTAGTTAATCTTCAACAGAAGAGAGAAGTGATAGGAATTAGATTCTGTCAGGTGTGACTGTGCCAGGTGGGACGGAGGACAGCCAGCTTTATAACCTTATCGGAGTCAGATAATCTCTTTAGGTTTCACACTTCAAAGAGAAGTTGGGATTACATGACTTCCAAGAAAAGGATTGTACCTAAATGTAAAGATTTCCAGGCATTGTTTCTTTTTACTACTGATGGTATCAGAATGTTACTAAATTTGATTACGAAAATAGCTGCTATGAAAGATTAAAATCTATCATGAGCAAGTGGTCACAGACTTACTCTGGTCTGCCCAAAAATCATGAATCTAGTCTTTGACAGGAAGAGTGTAGGAAGATAGATTCTGGCCAAATGTGAAGAATAATTCTCTGGCAAGTAGAGTTGTTCAAAATGGATGGAGGCAGAGGTCTAACCTAGATTCTAAAATGCTTTTTGTCACGTCTTCATAAGAAATTCAGGCAACAAGTGGAAGCTCAGTCTATAATCTCTTTAGAGATGACCTTTAGTTCATCCCAACTTGACACATTTATGATTCAGTCATTTAATATTTGTATGTATTTTAAGGTGAAGCAGATTTTAAAGTACCTGTTAGGCAATCAGAATATCTATGTTGTACTATCTCTTAGAGATAAATTGCATTATCACAAAATCTGCTTCTGTCAAGCTAGAAAACAAAATGAGATTATTATTGATGATCAAAATAGTTGACTTCAAATATTTTGTAATTATGTACAGGAAAAATAGGCAAGAGAGCTAATCGCTGCTGATGGCTGGGAAGGGACCGAGAAGGGCTTAGACAGAAGCAGCTGTGCACTCAGTGCAAGGCACTGTATTAACTCGAGAGTTCTTTGACATCTGAAAAACCTCTCTTTAAGAGACAGGTCCAAGAAAAGGAAACTTCAATTAGAAGTTTTCGATGGATGACTCCCAAGGCTTCCTAAGAAGAAAGAGATGGTGGGGATGTTAAACATAACCTTCTTGACCACTGACTCACTTCAAACTCTTGAAAGACACAAAACACAGAAAAATAAAGATTGTGATGAAACTGAACTCATGTCATCACTTTTTGTTGGTTAGTAGTTTGAAATCTTTTTTTAAACAATTGGTTTATATTTAAATTATGTGTATGTGTGTGTACGTGTGGGTATGTACACATGATTGAGGTTGCTCACAGAGGCCAGAAGATGGCAACAGATTGTCCTGGAGCTAGAGCTACAGATGTTGTGAGACAGCTGACATGGGTGCTGGAAACAAACCCTGTCGTCTGCAAGGGCAGTATGTACTCTTAAACACAGAACCATCACTCAAACCCCAGAATCTTTTTTAAAAGACCAGATTGTTGAATAATTTCACATATCATCATCACATACCTGTTTGATAGCTGTTGATTTTTAATCTGGTATGATCACACTAGTGAAATGCCAAGTTTTAGATCTTCTGGCAACATTCACTGAATTTCTGAACAAATGAGCCATTAGAAAAATGAGAGGGTGCTGGTAACTGAAAATGTATCCAGGGAGTAAACTATTCATGGAAACTAAAAGAGCCAAACAGAACAAAGCTTCAGGGACCTTCTGTCACAGAATGTTTGTCCCGTTCTCATAATGGAACATTTCAGCATTTCTTTCTGTTTATAAACAGATGACACAATTTCTCAGAGTCCTGGTGGAAGCCTAATTACATGCCCTGAAGTCAGGACTGCGGGGATTGAAGAAAGAAGGATTACAATAGGAATGAGTCAGATAACTTCCTTTCAAAAGTACTGGATGCCTGGACCTTTGCTCTTTTGTTTTTCTCTGTAGTTTTGTTTGCTATCTTTCCCATAAGCTTTCCATGCAGGGACACCCGAACCCTCTATTGTACCTTATGGTTGAAGCTGGCTGCCAGGCTGTGAGGATGTGAGGGACCATTCTCAGATTCCATACTCACCAGGCTGGATTTCAATATTTCAAGTGAAAGGGGTTCCCTCAAAGGGATCCCTGGCCTTGGCCTCTCTTCCTGTGAATACTTACACAAATAGTAAATAACAACACCAAACAGAGTAAGCCACCTTTTCGCCAAAGGCAACTTCCAAGGGCCTGTTATTCAAGCCCCAAAGCTGTCAGGGATCTGACCTCAGAAGGCTCTTTATAGAGAGCGGAGTTCCTTGCTGAGACATCAAATTAATGAAGATAAAAAGAACAGGAAGAGTTCCTCCCTGCTGGACTTTTGTTTTGTCTTTCAAATCAGGGAATAAAATCATAATTTGCAGTCAGAGAGCTGTTTCCTTCTGAAAGGAAATTGCAATACTAGAAGTCAGTTCTTTTAGTGGAGAGTGGCATTACATTAGACCCCAAAGGGACAGTAAGTTAAAGGCAGCTCCTGTGGTCTCAGCATATACTTAGAATCTAAGCAATGAGGAACACAAGCACCCACAAAATACATTTTTTGAAGTAACTTTCAGGAAACTATAGGCAAATGTGTCCTTTTTGCAGGTTACTGAAGACCTTTGGACATTTTCTATTACCACATGCTTACCCACCCCCTTCCAAACACACACACCAGTCCCATAGTCCATAAAGAGAAAATTCTGGGAAGATGGTTGGCAAGGGAGCCATGTCAGGAAAGTGTACTTTTTGTGCTATGTGGGGATAGACACAAGGGTGGTTACTTCCCAATACTTCCCTAATTCAAGTGAGGAGATGCCAAGAAAATTCTAAAACCTGGGGAAAATTCCTCACCCCCTGCTGTGGTATCTTCTTAACAGCTGACTAGTATATTTCTGGGTCATCAGGGAAAATGGAAAATCATGTGGCTTGTCAGAAGGGCAGCTGGTGGCAGCCTGACCTCTTGCTATTGCATGTGGCAGAGTTCTGTGGTACTTTTGTGAAGTCTGTGTATGATTCAGGAAACGGGTGAGTGTGACTCTTCTGATCAAACTCAAGTATGACTTACAAAGACCAAAGAACCAGAATACAGACTGACTGCTGGGTACAGGAGCTGAAGAACTGCAAGATGCCTGGCAGAATTGAAATCTGATTCAGAGAGCTCTGCAGTGTACAGGCACAGCAGGGCTGCCT